TTATTATTATTATTATTATTATTATTATTATTATTATTATTATTATTATTATTATTATTATTATTATTATTATTATTATTATTATTATTATTATTATTATTATTATTATTATTATTATTATTATTATTATTATTATTATTATTATTATTATTATTATTATTATTATTATAATTATTATATTAAAATTAGAGTTTGTTTGTTTGTTTATTTCAAATAGTTAAGTACTTTTAGTTAATACTATGTAGGATTATTATTATTATTATTATTATCATTTAATTATTAGTAATATTAATAGTAATAAAATAAGTTTAATTTGTTTAATTTGAGTAATTTTGTATGCATTAATTGCCATTGTGTCCACATAGATAAAATATTGTGTATATTATACTGTATGTGCAAGGGCTTTACTAATGAATCCAGATATCTAATTTTCTCTCTTAATTTGGTCTTTTTCCACTTCTTCTCTCCCACACTTTTCCATTAGCCTCCACAGTTTCATTTAGTTTCTGAATGTCACAGCATTTTGGACTTCCTCTGGGGGGATTGAACAATTTGGCTCATGTACTTCATTGTGTTAACATCTAAATGACAGACCTGATCTAGGGGTTTCTGATTGTTCCAAGTGTGCAGTCTGTACTTTTCCCACCCACACATGTAACATCTGTAAATAATGTCATCACACCAACCCACACCTCAACCGCGCTCCAGACCAGAGGGAATAACCCCTCATTCAGCCCTCGCAGTGTTTATTAAACACAATCAGGACTGCAGCAGTGCATGCGCAGAATGACTGAATGAATTGGCCTCATTAGTTAATGCTGACTGTGATGCCATAAATAATATACAACTTTTCATTTGTTAAAATACTGGCACCACACGCCAGCTCTTGTGAGAGTGGCCTGCTGAATCCATCAAATTGCTAGTCTTAATTGGCACCTATTATGTCCCTTTTTACAATATGTAATATTGGTCTTGGGTGTCCCCAGAATGTGTCTGTGACGTTTCAGCTCAAAATACCCCACAGATCATTTATTTTAAAATGTTGAAAATGACAATTTTGGGGCGTGTCTAAAAAAGAGCTGTTTTTGGTGTGTATCACTTTAAATGCAAATGAGCTGCACATTCCCGCCCCTTCTTCAGAAGAGGGCGTGGCATATACATATCTGCTTTGCATACCTACAGCAATAAACAGCCGGTAGAAGCAACATGAATGAGAGCGAGAGAACCGGTGTTCAGCCGTACATGTTTGAACCGGAGTCAGACACAGATGAAGAAGATACTCCGGCAGAAGAAACACCTATGAGAATGAACCAGGACGTCTCTGAATGGTTATTTGATACATGTACTTGTAGAGTTTTCACAGCCCATTTGCAAAGACGAATGAGTGACACACATACACACAAATACTTTGATAACGTTCGCTATGCGCTTCAACGAAACGACACATGCTCACAAATACGGTTAAAACATTAGCTGAGCACTATGACGACATGACATTTATGTAAGGGATACTGTCGCGTCATATTCAAATATTCAAATATAATACTTCTCGTATAGGTGCTCGTGTGGCAAATGTATTGCCCCTCATTCACAGAGCAGTCTGTGGTGAAATGATTTGCGCAGACATGAACGCATTTTGGAACATTTTGAGGCGCATTACCTTCAAAAATAAAAGTAACCCACTGTGTCCTCAGTGGCTCAGATTTTGGGAGCACATGAAGACTTTTATGCTCAGTCTTACATCCAAACACAGAACACCGGGATTGTTTAGGAGACATTGTTGCTGTTACAGCTGCTCGAGCGCAGAGAAAATGGAGGACAGTGTACAACCAAACACAACTCGCTGAGGGTGGAAACTATTGTAATGCAGGACTGTCAGTCAGTGGCCGTGGGCGGGGCCTAAACATTGTGACATCACAATGCTAAGAGAATCAAAACGGCATGCCTAATGAGACTGGTTTAGTTTAATGGGGATTAAAAATTAAGAAGTTGGTGGATTTTTATCATTGTAGGGTGTTTGTGTTCACACACTGATAACACATTTATGTCCAAACACCATGTGGATTTTGCATAATAGGTGCCCTTTAAAGGGAAAAAGAGAATGTAATTCTAAACCGTCCTTTATGAAACACAAAGTTGAAATTTGGTAGAATTGTACTGGTCGCACTTTCCCATACATTTAGAATGAATGGAGGCTTTTTTGTGCTATGGAATGGGGAGGAAAAATGCAAGATCTCAAGATTAGTATTTTTTTTGTAAAGTTGAACTTGAGTTTAGTGTGTGTTTATGAAGAAAAGCAATGTAAAAGTTGCACAGTTGAATGGAAAAACATGTGACTTTGAACTTTCTATCCATCAAAGAATCCTGAAAATTGTTTGGAAACGTTAAGATTTTCATAAAAATATTAAATATAAATTTGTATCAATGCATTCAACATTGATAATAATAGGAAATGTTTCTTGAGCACCAAATCAGCATATTAGAATTATTTCTGAATGATCATGTGACACTGAAGACTGGAGTAATGCCTGCTAAAAATCTCCCTGTTTGCGTTCTACCTAGTATTTAAGCCCTGTGCTCTCCTCTGTTCCTTTGTCTGCTATTGTCTTTTGTGGATTATTTGCTGTTGGATTATTGTTGTTCCCTTTCCCTGTGGATTTATTTTAAAAGGAATTCTCCATCCTACTCTTTTGTCGTGCACGTTATATATTGTTGTGACAATCCTGTGACAGAATACCAGACCATCTAGACGAGTAGTTTATTGCGGCATTTTTCTTTTTTGTTTCGTTCCTCTCCCTCCCAGATGGATCGGCCAGACGTCCAGCTCCTTTGCCTGGAGCAGCAGGACCGTTTGCTGGAGAACCACACCAGAGACTTTTTAGATCTGGCGTGCCTTACTCACTTCCCTGACCGCTCACTTTGCGTCTTTTACTATTCCAGCCTGAGCGAGCAATGTAAGGCACGCATGTCAGCGAACGGTCCAAAGAAGTGGAGTGGGTTCTGGTGAATAGCGGATCACTATTCACTGTCTGCCCCGCCGAGGAGGACTTCACCAGCCCCACTCCTGACCCCGAGCCCAACCAGCCTTCACTCCGCTACGTGGATAGTACACCAGAGCCCACCGCGGACAGAGAGCCTGCACCCGCCACGATCAACCTGCCTGCGCTAATGGATGCGACAGAGCCGAACATCGCCCCAGAGCCCAAGCTTGACGAAACGCTTAGGGTGAGCTGAAATATTAGACTGTTTAAATGAGGAGGATTCTCCCGTCCCTGCTGGTCCCACCCAGCTCTCCTTCATCTCCTGAACCTCTGCTGGTCCTGAATCTCCACTGGTCCCGCCCAGCTCTCCTTCGTCTCCTGAATCTCTGCTGGTTCCGCCCAGCTCTCCTTCATCTCCTGAATCTCCGCTGGTTCAGCCCAGCTCTCCTTCGTCGGACAACTCCTCATCTCCAGCCTCAAGGAGGGTCCCGCTCAGCCTCCCATTCCCTCCTCCTCTGTCTCTGTCAGCCAGTCCATCGGCCTTTTCTCTGCTGGCCCCTGAAGATACCTCAGCTCACCCTCAGCAGGCCATAACCGATGAGTCAGATGAGTTTCGGGATCTCCAGTTGCCAGCTACTTCGGGGTCGGAGGATCCCCTGTCTCCGCTTCCAGCCTCCGAGACCTGGACTCCACCTTGGCCCTCAGACCCATTGGCTCCGCCTTGGCTCCTGGCTCCCTTGTCTCCACCATGGCCCGTCATCCTACTGGCTCCACTGGTCTCCCTCGTCCCTCTGGCTTCTCCTTGGTCAGTCGTTGACCTTCCTCCGCCACGGGATTCCACTCCTCCGGCTTTGCCTTCCCTTCATCCCTCTGGCTCCTCCTTCCCTCTGACTCAACCGTTGTCCTCTGTCGCTCTGGCATCACTGCAGTCTTCCGGATTCCCTCCTTCACCTTGGTCGTCTGAGCCATCAGCTCCTCCTTGGCCCTCCGGATCCTCGGCATCACCCTGGCTCTGTGGCTCTCCGCCTCCATCCTGAGCTCCTCTTCCACCAGCTCCGTCTCCGTCAGTCAGCCCCCTGGTGTTGCCAGCCCTAACTCCTTCATGGCTCCTCCCTCTAGTGACGCCACCTTCCTGGCTGGCCTCTGGATCTCCACCTGGCTCCTCCTCTTCCTGGCTCCTCCCAACGTCTACTCCACTCTAGGCGTTTGAGCTTTGTATTCTCCCTTTTGCCTGCCCCTCGTCCTCTTCCTGAACCCCCACACTCCCTCCTCAGTAGGATTGTTCCACGGTGCGAGGACGTGTCTTCCGGTAGGGGGGAGTAATGTCACGTGTATATTTAGTTATGTTTCTTTTGTTCTAGTTTTCCCTCCACTAGTTTGTTTCCTTGGTTGATAATTAGCTCCACGCCTGTTCTGTTTCTCCCTGATTGTGTTGTTCCTGGTATTTAAGCCCTGTGTTCCCCTCTGTTCCTTTGTCTGGTATTGTCTTTTGTGGATTATTTGCTGTTGGATTATTGTTGTTCCCTTTCCCTGTGGATTTATTAAAAGGAATTATCCATCCTACTCTTTTGTCGTGCACGCTATATATTGTTGTGACAATCCTGTGACAAACAGAGATTCATTGTTTTAACTTCTAATATATAGTTTCGTTGGATCATCTTTAATGCATCTTATAAAAGCTTTTCTTGAGTGCTGACATGTAACCAACAGTCTTTATCAGCCACATCAGTTCTAGCAGCGTCAGCGATTTGTATATGTGCTTCTTATGTGTAATTAAGATGAATTATGATTCCATTATCTGCTCTCCAAAAGCGTTCACTGCTGCTTATTCAGCTCTTTTTATGCTGCCTTTGTCTGAACCAACTTGCGCTTTTTGGGTGCCCGATGCATTATGGATTATGACAATGTCAGTTAATCAATTTTGTCTCTCTAAGTTTAAATTTACAAAGGAACCTAGTGATCTTATCTCAATATTTAACCATTGACTATTGCCATTCAACATTACAGTATAATTGAGAGCTATCAATTTTAACATTTATTAGACTTTTAAAAATAACTTCTAATTTAAGTGAATTTTAAACAATCATTACACAAACCCATTATAATAAATGTTATATTTTCCTGTGCCTTTCAGCAAGTAGGAAATGTACAAAAATTGAATAAAGTTATCAAACACTAAATTATAAATTAAATAAAGATGAATCCTTAAAGCTGCAAAAGTTATTGATTTCCTCTTTTTTTATTTTGTTCTTTGATTAACAGACTTCACAGCAGCTGGTTATTAGGTTATTTTGGCTGCTTTAAGAGCGGCGCTGCTGAACATGATGCAGATCTGACTTGCATCGTATTTTCTCACAACTCTCTTTACCTTTTCTGACCCACTTCAGGTCTTAAAGTGTCTACTAATGAGCTGACGAGTTGAATCGGGTGTTACATGAGAGAGACATCCAGGACAGTTTTGAAAACCACTGCATTTCAGAGACATGTTCTTAAATGTGACTCGTATCAAATACTTGCATGCACAGTTTTAAAGGGGTCATATGATGTTGCTAAAAATAATATTATTTTGTGTATTTGGTGTAATGAAATGTGTTTATGCGGTTTAAGGTTAAAAAAACACATTATTTTCCACATACTGTACATTATTGTTTCTCCTCTATGCCCTGCCTTTCTGAAATGCGTCGATTTTTACAAAGCTCATCAGTCTGAAAAACGAGGTGTGCTCTGATTGGCCGAATACCTCAAGTGTGTGACGGAAATGTTACGCCCCTCACATACTGTTGACGCCGTGTCCCGGCCGGAGCGACGAGACAAAAACATTAAAACCCATTATAAACGAGGCATTTGTTGCATCCAGTGGGGACATAATTACGGATTATAATGCAGCTTGTAACACTCCAAAGAGAAAGGAAAACTTGAAAGTGCATCATATGACCCCTTTAAAGGGAGAGAGAGAGAGCGCGAGAGAGAGAGAGAGAGCGTGAGAGAGAGCGAGAGAGAGCGCGAGAGAGAGAGAGAGAGAGAGGGGGGGGGGCACAAACGTTACACCAAATACACAAAATAATGATCTTTAAAAAAGCATCATATGACCCCTTTAAGGCAGCGTTAATTGCCTTTTTGGTAACGTCATGACTTAGCTATTGCTCATAGTTTCATTTGCGTTTTAATATGATACAGTGCTTTAATATAATACAGCGTGCGCCACTGCATTTGTGCGTGCAATTCAAGAGCATATGCTATGAGCACAGGATAAAGGCTGATAGTAAAATTATTTTTTACTGACATATGGCCTGACAACATCTCATCTGACCACAGTTCACTGTTGTTCTACTGAAGCTCCCTCATCAGCTGTACCTTTTCCGCGCTCGTTTGACTAGCACCTGGCGCTGAGGTGAAGTTGGAGTGTGTGTCTGAAAAGTCTCCCATTTGATGTGGTCATAGACGTTCTGTGTCTAAATAAATACAATTATTGTCAAGAAAAAAAGAGACAAGCAGCAGTTGTAAATGGGGTGGCCGACCCTAGCTCCGCCCCTGCATTAATTGCATTAAATATTTTTAAAGTGTAAAACTGAAAAAAAATTATAAAAAAAATAAAATAACATAAAATGGAAAAGAAGAATGAGATATGAGTAGGTCAGATGACCAGATATCATGTACATATCAGATTTTAAAACCACATCTGAAAGTTTTAACTATGTCCACGCCTTTTCAGCACTAATTCTTCACTGCGCGTCTTTAGTAAATCCTGACAGTACTATTTTAATGCCAAAAGACGGTTTGCGCTAGTGCAAGCTGTTAGTAAATCTGGCCCATAGTCTCATGAGTTCTGCTATTTACATGCATGTTTAAAAAAGGTTTATCAGTCTTTCAGACAACCCACAGACCAGCTAGTTTTGAAAAGTAGTAGTACATGTAGTTTTGCTCATCTCTAATTAAAATCAGATCATTCACTCGATTCAGACACTGATTCAGTTCAGACAATGAAGTGAAAAAGACTCAGTGGTACAAAAATGAGATCTGTTGCAGTGCAGCATGGGACTCATGCTGCTCTGGTTTCTGTGGAACTGTGGAGCTGCATGGACACACAGCAGACACAGAGGATCAGGGCTGATTTCTAAAGCTGTGCCTATGTGGGGGTGTAACACTGATGCAATGATGCTCATAGCGCCAGTGTTGAATAATCCATGAATTGATCTGTGTTGAACGTATGCATAACCATATATGGATATAGTAGTACCATGTGTCTCAAAGACAAGTGAATATCTAGGTCACTTTACCATATAAGCCTGTGATATTCAGAACGGAATAATAGCTTTCTACTTACTGACTACTTCACTAAATACTATGTACTGCTTGCTGTTTTTTTCTTTAAATGGTGTGTTAAACAGTATGTATAATGTAATGATAAATGTTTCAAACAGTAGTATGCTTTATCATGATCTCTTTGTGGCATCAAGCAATATTGGACATGTGTAGCACTGCAGAGTTAATCAAAATAAAACCAACATTGCGATATGGCTTAGAGCAATTATCAAAACACAGGCTGTGATTTAATAAAATTCATATATTTAGCATGTTTCAGAGTGAAGCACAGCGCTGTGTTCGTTTACACACTGACAGCTCATGATCCAGTGTTTTCAGTGTCTCATAGCAGCTCTGTTCACAATAAATGCTGCTTTGCATGAACTGCATCTGCTCGGAGTTGGATATTTTGCATTTTTTGTGTGTGTGTGTATTAATGTGGTATCTTCTGGCAGTCCTATCAAATTAGCTGAGAAAAAGATCACTCTCAATATTGCTGTCGCATTGGAAGTCAAATTTCATTGTGGGATACAGCATTCTCTGTTTTGGTAAACATAGTAAGTCAGACGAGTTTTCCATGTGTGGAAAATCTACATACTGCACAGAGTATGCATACTGCATACGTCATAAATAGTATGATACGTACTATAGTATGCTAATAACTTCCTCTCTTTCTCTGTAGTGGCAGCAGCGGGGGCAGCGGCAGTCGAGAGAACAGTGGCGGCAGCAGCAGCATTGGCATTCCCATCGCCGTGCCGACTCCCTCCATTCCCAACTCAGTTCCAGGTGAGCTGCAGCCCACATATATAGCTGCTGCAAAAGCACACTATCTGAAGCACAGTATCCTACAGGTTAGGGCTAACTTGAGAATTAGACAAACTCTCCACATGTGCAGTATATCCTGTTCTCCAGAGTGAGAAATGGAGCAGGATTAACTGTTCACTGTATGCCTACAGCTTTCATGGCCTGATTTTTCCAGCTAAAGGTTTGTTAAAGTAGGCCACTACACTGCACAAGGACAGGTAGAAATAGAGAGGAAGTGGGGAAACTCTAAAGGGTGGTCTGCCTGCAGAGAACAAAAAAAAGAGAATGACGTTTAATAAGAAAAGAGGTCACTGTCCTGTTCTTCTCTGAGATACCTGCTGGAGCCAAGAGGAACAGAACCCCCCACCCTCCATCCCTCCTGAATCCTTACAGTCGCCATAGCAACACTGCATCAGCACCACTGATTTCCTTTTCCTGGATTAATGTTATTTAATGTTGACTGGACCTTTGAATGCAGTGTCTCTGTCATTGTACCCCTATTATTTCTGTTTGTGTGTTCATATATTAAAACGAAACCATTTTCTCTAGATTTTTTTTTTTTCCAGGCTTTGATGAAGGACTGTTTTAGCATCCAAAACCTAGTGAGCTACCTGCCTAGGCAACATTTTAAGGCATCTTCAAAACACTTCCACTGCAAAGACTATTCCAAAAGTTCGTGCTCAGATATCTCATTTTAGCTCTCATTAAGGCCTTGACACACCAAGCCGACAGTCAGCCAGCCAGCCAGCTCAGTTTTTGCAGTTTGTTGTACCCCGTTTATGGATTTTTGGCCAATTGAGCATGTTGAATTGGCATCGGACAGTCGGTGAGAGAGATCACTCTGATTGGCTATTCATCTTAGTGCACAAGAAGTGGTGAAGTCAAGAGTGCACACAGAGAAGGCTCTTCTAATTTTACATCTTACCTGAGCATTCCAATATGCAAATATTTTCATACAATTTTGGCTGTCTAAAATGCAAAAAGTGAAGTTCTTTGCTAGTTCTGTTTGCTTTAGGCAGCGTCAGTTGTACCTTTTGTGGTGAAGATAATTGGATTGCAAGCTCAACAATTCACCCAAGATGGTAGACAGAGTTGAGGGAAATGTTGATTATAAATGTACTTATATGATTCAGAGAACTCCCCTCATGTTTTTGAATAATAATGCAATTAAGAGTTAAACATATCTTTATAAAAGGTCACAGTGTTGTTCCAGATGAAATATTTTTTTGTAAGGTTAGATATTGATTATTAATCTCTTGAACCCCTTTATCTAAATGTCTACTTAAAGGGATAATTCACCCAAAAATAAAAATTATGTCATTAAGTACTCACCCTCATGTTGTTCCAAACCACTAAGACCTTCGTTCATCTTTGGAACACAAATTAAGATATGTATGATGAAATCCAAGAGCTTTCTGACCCTGCATAGACAGCAACGCAACTACCATGTTGCAAAGTCCGTCCCGGACAACACCAGCATTCCCGTCCTGCCCGTTCACCTGTGTGTCTGTGGGGCTTCAGCATGGGTCACAGAATTGTTAAGATTGGTGGATGGTGGTGGTGGTGATTGTTATTTTGGGTGGTGGGTTTGTGCTGCTTCAGTTTAAATCAATGCACTGTGGAGAAGTCTCTGACCTTCCTGGACGTTTTTCTCATAATTCATAAAGAGAGTATGGGAATGGGCCTTTAACTTGCGGTCACATTGACTTTTATATTTTTGTTATTTTCTGCAGGCAAAAACATCATCAATCGGAATCCGCGCAATTAAGAATTTCACTTGAGGTGAAAAATCCCATGCAGATTTCGCATTGGATTCGGGTTTTTTGCACTTTGAAAAAACAAATTAATTTACTAATATATAAACTGGATTTACTAATGTAAGTATGCAAGCCCATTTCCGCCACTGTTTACATCTCGCAATTCTGACTTTTTTTCTCAGAACTGTGTGATATAAACTCGCAATTGCGAGTTTAAAAGTCCAATACAGAAGAAAAAAAAATACTTTTTTCTTACAATTGCGAGTTTAATAAAGTCAGAATTGCAAGTTTATTCTAACTTTATAACATGGAATTGCAACTTTATATCACACAATTCTGACTTTATAACTTCACAATTACGAGTTTATATCACACAATTCTGAAAAAAAAAAAGAATTGTGAGATAAAAAGTTGCAATTATCTTTTTTTTTTTATTCAGTGGCGGAAACAAGCTTCCATTTGTAAAGCTTCTTGTTTTGGAAGTGACTTCTGAGAAGTGGTGCTTCATGCATCGCTACACTAATAGCTATGTTTCCATCACCCTGTTTTTATGCGCATTTTGAAGTATCGCATCAGAAACGAGTGATGGAAACTGCAAATTTTTAATAAAAATCCCTTAAGACGTATTAAGGACATTGTTAAAATAGTTCATGTGACATCAATTGTTGAATAAAGTCGTTATTTTTGTTTTCTTTGTGCAAAAAAGTATTCTTGTAGCTTCGTAACTTTACAGTTGAACCACTGATGTCACACGGACTACTTTGTCGATCATCTTGGTACTTTTCTGGAC